TTTCCAGTCTTACATATTTATAACTACATATATTATTATATTGAAACATAGTTATGTATTTCACATGTAATTCCCAATCAAATTTTTTTCTCTTGGTCATAGTATGGCAGAACATAATAGCAAGACCCGAGCACTGTTTACATGATAGCCTGTTTCAAAGGCTTTCTTGAGAATTTTAGGGTTGCTGTCAATTGGTCTGGAATAAGTTTCAAGATGCAAAATTTAGGTTGTTAATTTCTTCGTTTCCTGTTGTGGTAGTATATGCCACATACATATCTCCCTCACTCTGGGGAAGTATTGCAGAGTCTCTCTGAGTCCTTTAATGTGGAGGAGTTACATATGAACATCCATCAATGTGCATAGTATGCTTGAAACAAATGTACCCCCTCTATGACTGTCTCTTAAACTTTTTCCTGTCCTTGTATATACAATAATTTATGGATTTCAACTATAATCTCTATACGTAGGTGATTTACTTCCATTCTCTTTAACCCCCAATTCCTACCCTTTACCCCTAGCCAACACATAATCTCAGTATAGATGTTTGAAACTATTTCTATGGTATTTACACCTTATATGTGCATATTATCTAATGATGTTTATATTGGAAAGAGGAAATAAAAAATCAACTAGACAATGGAAAATTACATAAAATAATTTCTATATTATGAATTAATGCATATTTTTATAGTTAAGGAGATGAAAAGTTGTACTTTTAGAGCTCATGCTAATAATGTCCATGCATAAGTGATTTTGAACTACAGGTAATGTATGGTCAAAGTAGCTATGCAGAAACATGTTCATTCAGGCTACAATACTGCATTACTAAATAAATCAGGTCTCTTAGTTCTGCAGTACCAAACAAAGGATCATTTTTTTTCACTGTGTACATGAAACACAATACTCTCTTTCAAAGTCATCCTTTTAGATTCATCTACTACAGGTTGATATAAGGTTTCTAATTGAGAAACCCAAAGCAAAGTACAAACAATTGCTCTGTTCATTTCTGATTAACTAAAAATTACATCTAGATCTAAGAACTTCGATTTTAAAACATTAAGAAGCCTATTTCCTGAGATAGCCCCTTTGGAAATGCTTTATAAACTCAATGGTATTGCTAGAGTGAGAATACCTCAGGATTGTTGTTACCATGACTAAGAACACTAACAATAGATAGCTGTAAATAGAATTGATAAAAGGGTAAAGAACTAAAAACTGTTTTTCTTGAATATTTAGAATTTAGTATGATGATGCAAAACTTGTGAAGAGCAAAAATGACAACATATGAAATATTCATTTTTGATTTAAAAAAAACTTTGTCTAGATGTGTTGGCAGCTGTTCAGGAGGACTTAGGCATCAGAGTTGCCTTGGCTGATGGAATGGATCCATCCATTTGAACTCTTTTCATGAGTGATATCACTAGGACAAACCTCAATATCACACAATACCACCTAGACATTGATGTCATTTACAAGGTTTTTGATAAAACACTTTAAAAGCTGATCACCATGCTACACAATATAGTACTGGTACATACAGTAAATTCAAAGATAAAGAAAAGAGTTTGATGATGTCAAGATGATTTAGACTTAAAATTGCCCTACTTTTTAATGTCTGGTATTAGAACCAACTTAGGATCAAACATGTTTTGCCTGAGATTATTACTGTGAACCACCTTGTCAAATTGAATACTTTATGGACAACATTTTTTTTATTTTTTTAAAACAGAAATGTGGAATCTTCAACTCCTACTTGCTCCATTTCTGGAGTGGGGAGCAGGAAATCACCTGTCTCGTTCCTTCTCTTCTGTTTCTTTCTGTGTAACCTGTTTTTCTAAAATAAATACTTGCTGAAACTTTAAAACTTAAAAGCAGAGGAACTGTGATTTAAAATATATTACCACACAAGAATTGTATACAAGTGTATTAACGTTAAAAAGGTGGATTCAAGGGAGATCTCAAATAGTGTAATTCCTTAGAAAGCCAAAATCAAAGTTCAGCAAAATAAACAAAGTGGGTATTGGGAAGGGTGGGGACAAGGAGAAAGGGGTAGACAGACAAAGAGAGGGGAAATACAGACAAGAATCTAATATCTAACCTACAAAATTAAGGAAGTTGAGGGAAGAAAGGGGGGACCAATAAAAATGCTGATGGGGTGACATTGATCAAGGTATATTGTATTCATTAACTGTTTTATTAATTGGCAATTCCTTTGTACAACTACTTAATGATAATGATAATGTGCATAAAGGCTTAGAATAGTTTCTGCCACTGATACCTTAATGTACTGGTTAAACATTTTAAGGAAAAAAAATGAAAAGAATTGTAAGCAATGCTACACAGATTTTTGAAACTAAACAGGGAGTGATTTTCTTACAGCCTTTCCTTAGAAGCTCTCTGATTTACTTATTTAGTATCTTAAGCTATTGGGATTTAGAGACATTAGAAGTACAGTCAAAATGTTGAAGAGGCATTGATTTTAGTGATATTAAGTTTGATCTGCTTGCCTAGAAGAAAACTTGTGGTTTCCCATTGGAGTACATAAACGACCTCACACTTTTCTACCATGAAAGGAGCCAGGTGTCAGTTGGTGTGGGTAGGGATGGCAAAAATGAAGATTAAATGCCATGTCAATCCTACAATTCCAGGTTATTAGTGAAATAGCTAACAATGAATGGAAGAGTCAGATTTTAAGTGCAATAAAAATATAGAAAATATTTCTATATTATCAAAAATTTGAAACTATTCCACTATAACAGGAAAACTATTTTGAGTGAAAATTATATAGCCTAGATGGTTTTTTCAAAAGAGACATATAACAACACTTATAACTGTCTTCAAATAGGATTAGGAATAGAGCTAATTTCAAGATCTTAACACAAGCAACATCCTAGTAAACTTTTCAGGACTACAATACTTTTAGATTATTAAGATGATCCAAAGCTATTTGTTGTTTTACAAAAATAGAAATGTGACTTGTACTTTGCTACTTTCATTATCCTTTATTTCAACATTCTATGGACAGTGGTTTCCTAACCACTCATTAAAAATGGAAAGACAATAGCTATCACTCATTAGAAACTCAATCCAGTTATAGTAGATACTTGCTTGTACCATAATTGTCCATTTAAGCAGTAAGTTGAACCAAGGTTTTGAAGTAAAAAGAAATCATTTTTACCTCCTTGATACTTAGATTTGTGAGAAAACAATAGCTGAACATGATTCACTGGTTCATTTTCTTTCATGAAAACAAACCAAGGGCTAACAAGTTTTTGAGCTCAAAAGTAAGTTCAGAAGGAGTAAAACTGATAATATAGCCTACTAAACAGACATATACATACATATGTACACACATACACACATATACCAGATGAATTTGATGTCAACCTGTCTTTCCTGGCAATAATTATAATATCTTAAAATCTTGCTAGCCTTTAAACCTAAATAGAAGTGTAATAACTATTCAGCATTACATAGAAAATAAGAGTTTGAATTAAATGTTATTCTAATAAATAAAGTATGCTTATTTTCACTGTTTTGGTGAACATGTTGCTTTTCATTCTTTATTCTTTTTTGTCCACATACCCAGAAAAAGCAAGACAGACATAATAAATCTATTAAAATACATTAAGACTGCTTAGAGGAACACATATTCTTATCTCTGCTAGTAAAAAGTGAAGATAGTTAATTTGCAGTAGAATCATTGAAGCTTTTAATCCATTGCTGTTTAAGCATGCTGACTCTTACAGGTTTACCTTCAGTATTAAATTAAAATTACTATTATGTCTATCAGGAAAACAAATTTCTTTATGTTAATTGTCTTCCACATTTTGCATTTCTATTAGCCTTAGCTCCTTTAATCAACCAATGTGGCTAATAAAACTAGATCCTGAAGAAACAAAAGTCTGATGCTTGAAGCATTTGAGTGTCCTTAAATTACTACTATAGAGAAATTCAAAGCAGAGTTTTACTTTTACCAGCAGACCAAATGTGCTATTAGGTGATTTAGATACAGGTCAATCTTCAAGAAAAGCTTTGTTTTGGTAGAATAAGAATTAAATGAATAGTTGAAAACCAGCTTCTCTGGGTACATTAACTCCATTAGCGTTTATATTTATCTCTTGGTTGATTACTTTGGTCTTTTGTGCAAATGAACAAACACGTGTACAAAAAATGCAAAGTGGTGGACCCATAGTCTTTCCCTTGGTGACAACTTGGAAAAGAAAACCATCTGGAACCTTTTGTTTTTCCTTTTGTAATTGGGAAGTTATATATTTTATGGCAGTGACCCAACCAGTAATACCAGAGATGATTTCAAATCTATATGATTCAAGTAAATGTTTGTTGAGATTTTTCTTTCAAGAAAGTAAGTGCATAAGAATTAAAATCTAGTAGTTTTGACCACTGATTAATTACATTTTAATCTATGGTACAGGAGTGTGAACAAAGAACTCCACTTATTAGCTCTTACCATGTGAAGCATAAGCCAAGCATTAATTTATTTTAGCTACTTTTTCAGATGAGCTGTCACATTTTTGTTGTCCGAGCTTGACATAGACTGTGGTCCTCCTATCTGTGCTCCCCAAAGAGCTAGATCACCACACCCACCCCTGCTACAATCTGACTCTAATGCAGAGTAAAAACATCTAGAGTGGCATCATACTGCTTTAAACATTGTACAACTTGATTATTTAATATTGAGGCTTCTAGTTTCACATTATCAATATCCATTTATTATCCATCCATGTTCTAAGAAGCATGCTACTTAAAGATTTTGTAATCCTCAGAATGGCAATCATACATTAGTTTTGCCCAGAAAAAAATGCCCATTAACTAAAAATAAAGAAAACCCCCCCCCACACACACTCCACATAAATGTTTTGAATAACTAAAATCAAGCTTCTTTTAATTTCCAGTTCCTCTTGCCTACTTCTGAATTGATAGTCCTCAATTCTTAGTATTGGTCATAATCATGCTTAAAGGTATCTCAAAGTGGTTGCTCACTCACAGTTTGTGATTTGCAGCGTTCTCTTGACCTCGCCGCTCCCTGAGCCCCCACAGCCGTCCTCGTCATCACAGTCACCGCTGATCTGCTCAACTGTGCCACCTCCACTGCCCATGTGAAGAACTTCCCACTTGTCAGGTTTGGGTGATCGACCCTGTAACAACTAGAGGTACACACACACACACACACACACACACACACACACACAAAGTAATTATTAACAGCAAATTCAAACTTCTAAGCGTTCTGTGTCATACAGCTTTGGTAGAAATTAGAATGGTTCTCTGTCGTGGTATCACAGTTTTGGTGTAGATACCTTACCAAATCAAATCGCCAGATATCTATCTACATCTATCTATATTCTCTCTCTCTCTCTCTCCTTCTCCTCTCTCTCTCTCTCCACTAAAATGTGATAAATAATGGGCTCAGTCTCCTATCAAGGAAGATCTACCATCTGCCAATTGACTTTGTGATGGGCTTGAAATGACTGTTTAGGAAGCAAACAAAAGCAGGCCATCTTGCTTGTGGGTACTCTGGCTAAGGAATCTGTTGTCTCTGAATTAAAAAAAAAATGTGTCAGTATGGAAAACCAAATCTCAATCTACTAGAAGTTCAACTGAAATTCTACTGACTGAGTATATTAAATTCCTTTGCAACCTACACTCCCCACATTCCTAAAGAGAAGTAAAGTACTGTCCTTCTAGAAAAAATGTCAGCAAAATAATGAACTTCAAACATAGTTTCCTTTGCTTTTTTATAGATAAAATATATGGCACCATGTATAATGTCTCAGAATTCAACCTTGGGACAAAAAAAATTACGTCTATTTCCATTTATTTCTTCAAGTCATTAAGAAATTTAAAATAACTCCTTGATCTTGGCTGTCAAGAATTCCATTCATCTATATGAACTAAGTAATAGAATAGCCACTTTCCCTACAGCATAAAGGGCTGGTAATGGTTTTTGAATAATATTGTAAATGTCTGAACTTCTTTCTAAAAAGGTGATATAAGGAATAATAGAAACTTTACTTAAAGCGAAGATTGAGAAAAGTAATCTAATATGTGTTGTTTACTTCCCTAAGGCAGTGTTGGGGAAAATGAGACCAGAGGTACTGCTGTAGTGTGAATGATATGTACCTCTGTGGTCTGCTTAGTCAATATTTAAATTATCAGTGTTTTGTGAAAAGTTGATAATGGTGACTTCCGTGATTTTTTTTCCAAAATGTACTGTCATTTCACAGATCATAGTTAAACATATAATCCAATAACAGTAGTTCATATTGAAGAACATAGATGGAAACAATCTCAGTACATCTAAGATAAATGTACTTATATATAGAATTATTCTATCAATCACCTAGACTTTGCAATTCTTAAATTTCAAAATTATAGTTGTTTAAAGGGATTATTTTCTAACCGAAAAGTAATGCTAGAGAACCTGACAATAAATTCTTATTTTTGTTTGCTAGAATTTCTCAAAGAATATGTTAGCATACATTTTCTCTTCCTTTTTTGTTTTTGGATACTGGGGTTTGAACGCAAGCCCTTGCAATTGCTCAGCTTGTTTCCTTGGCTGGTGCTCTACCACTTGAGCCATACTTCCAGACCTGTTTTATTTCTGGTTATTTCAAAGATGAAGTCTTGTAGACTTTTCATCTAGTATATGATCTTCTGACCAACTACTGATCTCAGCCTCCTAAGTGTCTTGGATCATAGGCATGAGCCACTAGTACCTGACTAGTATGCTAAATTTAAAAAGAAAGCTTCTTTCAAGATGAAATGAATTTGCTAGACCTTATGGCAATACCAAAACATGCTGTGTTTTTGTTATTGTCTGGACAGGAGGGCAGGGCTTTTGCAGAGAAGCAACACAGATCACAGATGTGAAACAAATCATATAAAGAATAAAATCTAAAAAATAGGGTGAGGCCAATTGGTTTCATTTTTTACCCTCTATCATTTGTTATTAAGAATTATGAAATCTGGTATGTATTTAGTACCCTCACAAAGGACTTGGACTCTGGACTCCAACCTGCTTTGATATGAATCCTAATTCTGACAAACATTAGCCGTGAGATGTTGAGAAAGTTCTTTGAACAACGTGGCTTCCTCATTTAAAATAAATACAATGATTTATGTGTACCACTGTTTATAGTGAGAAGAAAAAAAACTATGTGTGAAAGACTTTACAAACATTTATTTTCCACTATATTACAGATGAATACATTTTGAGTAGTATTATCTACTTTGTAATCAATTCTACTGAGATATCATTTAAACATTCAAAGCACATTAATTGGAACAATTATTAGATAAAGAATTCAACTACAATATTTGGGATAACATTTTTGAAGTACTAACTAACAAGTACAAATGTCACATTTGGTAAGTTTGCTCCCTTTTTTCACCCTGATATTCTTTACCAACATTTTCTTACACAAATTTTTTCCCCTTTAATTCCCTAAGATTTTTCCAGGATTTTACTGGGATTTAGGCCAGAGCACAGATGGAATCCCTTGGATAACAGGAGCACTGTATAAATCACCAGGACCCAACCCAAAGAACTGGGACTCAAAAATGCAAACAGAAACAGAGTCCATGTAAAACAACACTTATCATTTTGAGAAATGGTTGTTTGTTGAATGTAATTGAAGATATTATCTGTCATAGAATTTTTTATTTATTATAGTGATTGGAAAAATAATATTAAAATACATGTAATGATTTCTGTATTTTTATTACTTTATTGGCACTCTAAGAAACATCTAAGGCAAACTGAACACAAACTTAAAAGAACATATTAGATAAAATAATATTTTAGCTTAATTTTAATTATGAGCAGAACTGGATATTGTACCATGGAACTTTCCACTCTACCCCTTACCCACTCAGACTGTGAATACAATGCCATTTTATAGGTACTCCTTTATAAAGCAACTACAGATTTCAAATGTAACAAATGATCTTGGGTTTACCAAAAGTAACATCTCTGGGGTGGATTAAAATAATCACTTGATTTCTTTAAAAGAAAAAAATTCCGTGGCTGCTACAGATTCAGACACTGGAAACACAGTTTAAAGAAAGCTAGATAACACTATTGCAGTACTGGATATAAGCTGGGGTGTTGTCAAAGCCCACCTGGTGGGCTTTGGGACTGAGCTAGTTGTGGCCTCTGAGACCCAAGAATGGAATGAGCAGCTTTACTCCTCAAGGAGTTGCAGACTTCAGTCCTTCATCTGAGTGTTGTCGATAGCCTAAATGGATGTGTTAGTGATTTTCTCTCAGGATCTCCAAATTCAGTTAAGTGCAACTGACCACTTACTTTTCCCCTGACCAATGTGTCTGTGGAACTGGCAAATGGATATTATTTTGAGCTACTAAATGTGTGGTCATTTGCCATGCCCAAAGTGAAAAGTATTATGTTCTTTAATCCCTAATCACACACTTCTTGTCTGATGTTCTTGATTCTCTATATCACATTCCTCAGAACAAGAGGTCAAAATTTCCATGAGACACTACCATATCCAAAAAGGTGGTACATTGAAAAAGGTGTTACCAAGTTCTGCATATTTTTCACTTTTCTCTACTTCTTTATATTTCTGTTTTCCACATCTCTGAGCAAGAGATATAACTGCAGTGTTTTTTATGATCAACTAATCCAACTATGTGTCATTTGATCCATGATTCCAGTACCTCCAATGATCTCATCTTCCTCTGATAGGAAGGAATAGGAACTTAATGTAGAGTTCCCTCTCCTGCACATGGTAGGTCTGCCAAATTTTATTTTCTCAAAAAATTCATTTTGCATTATTTCTATGTTTGCAACTACATGCTAACTACATACTCACTTTCATTCTCTTTCTCAAAGTAGTAACAATCATCACTTGTTAAAATTCTAATGAACTTCTAGTCAGCAAAATAAACGGGCATTACAATAAAATCTTTATTCATTTTCTCTCTTTTTTGACTAACCTAACTACAGCTAACTGACTCTAGCTAATCTAATTGAAACATGTTTCAGTTAGAAGTATAATGCATCTATTATTAGTGCCTTTAAGGGAACTCCTCCAAACAGATTGGGCTCTCATCTGAACGCTACATTTTTGCTTGAAACTTCATCCCTCATTGTGCCCATCTGTTCCCATCTAGGCATCAGATAAAGGTGAAGAAGACTCTTCTCCCTTTCTATCTAGCAATGACACTATTTATCTCACTATTCACATATCATCATAACTTCTCTTGCCATTTCACTCATTGCAGTAGCATTAGTCTTTATTACCTGCAGCCACCACATGAGATTTTCCAAATCAGCTTCTTTTTCATGTTATCTGCCCTAATGTCATTGGAAACACTTTACTATCAAGCTCATTGTTTCCCATTATATGTCTGCAAGGGACAATTATCAGTCCAGAAAGGTTAGTGGGAGAATAGGATAAAAATAACTTACTAGAGGCATATCATATCTCTTTCTTAATTTGTCTCAAACAAAAAGTTCATGAATAATCTCACACAAAGCAGTCCTGTCTACGTGGGAATCACCTCATATTTTCCAAACTGATGTAACTGAATTGCCTGTCAACACACAATGATAAACTTATAGAAGTGAGGTCCTAATGTTCAAAAGTGGCCAGACTAATAAAAATAAAAATTAAAAAAAGAAATAAATTCCAAGAAGATAGAGACAAAAAAGTGGCCAGACACTCAAGCTTCCATATAATAGATTTTATTACCTCTGCAGTCCCCAAAGTTTGCCACAAGCCAGTTCATATATTCTCAGAGAAATAACGTGATTTTTCTCAGAATTGCCTTATTGTCTCTTCACTTCCAATTGTTGTTTCTCGACCATACAGAACACATCTTTTCCTCTTCCTTTTTTTTTTTTTTTTTGTCAGTCGTGGTGCTGAACTCTGGGCCTGGGCACTGTCTCTGAGCTTGTCAGTTCAAGTCTAGTGCTCTACCACTTTGAGCCACAGCATCACTTCTGGTTTTCTGGTGGCTGATTAGATAAGAGTCTCATGGACTTTCCTGCTTAGGCTGGCTTCAAAGCACAATCAATTTCCTGAGTAGCTAAGATTATAGGTGTAAGCCACCAGCACTCCGCCTCCTCTTCCATTTTGTACTTAATTTTTTAAGTTCAAACATAAATATGTTATTTTCCATC